TTGATAGAATGGAAAACATATTATTGAAATAGAGGTGATTTTGATTGATTTTACTATAAAAAGAACCTAGAAATGGAGCTCAAAGTAGGGGAAATGTTTGATTTTTGCCAATGTTCAAAAGTAAACAAATGATGCCATTGTCCAACAAATGTCCAACTAGTCATTCTAATATGCAGTCATGAATGGGTTGATGTTATTTATACAATTATTACAGTATTGCAGTAGTCTGCATAATAGTAAGTCTTCTATTTTTTGTTTGAATAAAAATTCAAAATAGAAAGCAAGAGTAATATCAGAGGGGCCTGGAGAAATGACTGATGAGCAAAGAAAATGTTATTTTAGAGCCAGGAATGTCTGCATTGTTCATTCTGGACCTTAGTTTGAAATTGTCATATATTTTAGTTTTCGTGAAATTGGCCAAATTGCAAATTTCTGACCACATTATTAGGTAGTTGAAATCAGTAAATGGGCAGTTTCTTGTACTCAATCGATAGAAAAAAATGGAGTTCTAAAGAAATAGCTATGAGTTTGGGCGACTGGAACAAAGGAATTAGGCGAAAATAGGGCTCAAAGTGGGCGAAATCGACGATTTGTAAACAGCACCGAGGTTGCTAACTTCGCGAGAGCATAATTCCGTCAGTTTTCCATCAAATTTCGTTTTTTTGGTGTCATTACAATCGGGAAAAGATTCTCTATCATTTCATAAGAAAAAAAATTTTTTTTTTTTTTAATTTTGCGACACCAGGAGATGCCTCAGGATTGGGGGTTCAAGTTCGAGTTCTGATGACCAGAGCTTTGGTAAGATGGGTGAGGAAGAAGGATGGGTAAGGATGGAAATATTGGAAAAGGGTGGGAGGGGGGGGAGAGGTAGGATATAAAAGGTAAGTGGCCCAACCACTTTGGTGTAATTTAAAAAGTGTATGTGAATTGATAAGATATTCTTTAAGGGGTATAATACTAACCCATCAGAGTCACATAGATATAATAGGTATATAAGTACATGACTCTGAATTGGTAGTAGTTATACAAGTTGCAATTGCTGTTTTTTTTTTTTTTTTTTTTTTTTTTTTTTTTTTTTTTTTTTTTTTTCGCGATTGCACAACGGATATTTATACGACAAGAAAGGCAATAATTTTCTGGCCAGTTTATAAGTTCGTGACAATAGCTTCTTAATGGTGGTGTCCAACCATAGTGAATAGCATAATTTTACATTAGAAAGTTATTTAAGATGTCTCTCTAATTGGGGGCGATGATTTTCTCAGTATACATAGAAGGGTTCTGGTGGTATCCAATCTTCTTCATCAGGTAAGTTGCTCAAAATCATGGGTCGAGGGTAATCATCTTTATGAATAAAACGACGAACCCTCTGTGGGAGAGTCATTCTTTGAGTCCTGTGAGGCGGAGTACTGATGGTGTAATCGGTGGTATTTATCACTTGTATAGGATGTTCTCTGTCTGGCATGTATAGTTCTTGCATTGTATAAAGTTGTTTCTTTTTTAGGGTGTCAAGGCGTACATTTATGGCAGTAATATCTTGTTGTGTGTGTAAATCTGCCATTTTAACTCTGTCTCTCCTCCTGGTATCGGTAATAAAGCGAAGAGCTCTATTCTGGACCCTTTGTAACCGTAGCATGTTGGTCTTTGTTGTTAATGACATTGGGACACAAGGGTATTCGAGTATAGGTCTTCTTATCATTTTATACAGATGTTTTTTGACATGTTGAGGGGCTTGATTGAATCGAAAGAGTCTGCTAAGACCGGCTTTGGCTGTGTTGATCTTTTTAGTTACATGAGATGTTGAGTGGAGCAGCCTGTCTATTTCATATCCCAAGATCTTGTTAGGGTTTCTAATGGCTACAGGTGTACCTCTGATGGAGATACCTCCTTTATCTTCGATGGTTGATGCAAAACATCCTATCGTGCTAACAAGGACCTTGTCAGGATTAGTCGTAATTCTCCATTTCTTCTCCCAATTAGATGTTCGACGACAGTCAAAGGGTTAAAAAAAAAAAAAATTATTTTTTCTTATGAAATGGTAGAGAATCTCTTTGTGAATGTAATAAAACAAAAAGTACAAAATTTGATGGAAAATTGACGAAATTATGCTCTCGTGAATTTTGATGTGTCAGCGATATTTACGAATCAGCGATTTTGCCGACTTTGACTCCCATTTTAGGCCAATTACATTATTTCAGTCGACCAAATTCTTAGCTATTTCACTAGTATTACTTCTATTCTATCGATTGAGCACAAAGAATCGCCAAGGCAACTGTTTCGACTACAAAATAAAGTGACCGGAAATTGGTAATTTGGCCAATTTAACACAAAGTTCAAAATATTCCAATTTCAAAATAGGGTCCAGAATAAACAATGTAGGTATTCCTGGCACTAAACTAACATTTCCTCTGTTCATTAGTTATGTTTTGAGGCTTTACAAATAAATTCCATTTCGATTTTTTATTCACATAATGAATTTTTATTCACACCAAAAAATAGAAGATTTACTGTTATGCAATATTGTAATAATTGTATAAATATCATCACCACATTTGTGAATGTATATTAGACCCACCAGCTGGTGTGTATTAGATGTGTGAGGCCATATGTTTACTCTTGAACATCGGCAAAAATTTAACATTTCTGCCATTTTGAGCTCAGTTTCAAGCCATTTCCAGTGCTAAAACCAATCAAAATTATCTCTATTTCTGTAATATGTCTTCCATTCTATCAAATGAGACCAAAAAATCACAAATGCAACTATAAAAAACATGAAAAAACACTGCGAAGTCGCTGTTTTAATCGAAAATCACGATCTCAGTTTTTTTTCTCTCATTATACACAGTGTGCTGCAGGATTTGTTTTCTGTGGTGCACACATACCACATAGATGTATTCTCTCATATCTAGGCCCAAATTTACCACTCACAGTTTATCAGAGTGAGTTGAGCTCATGACGTTGATCTACGGTTTGGACCCTGAACGTAAAGCCATAGATCTACGGGACGGACCCTGAAAGGGTTAACAGTGTAGCAAGTAAGTTAAGTGATTAATCGATAGAAAAAGGACAGCACGATACTGACTCCTCCATTGTTGGTGAAGGTATATAGGGCTACTAACACCGCCACCTCTGCTGCCTCTTGCTGCTGCCTTCACCACCACTGTGTAAGGCTTATCTTTCAGTGACCCTTATACACCCAACAACAACCAACACACCATCACTTCTTAATGCCATATTTTATTCATTCTAGAGTATATATCATGTTTCTATGTTATTAATATTGTTTATTATGTCAGATGGATTGTGCTAGATAAATAAGCCATAAAGCTGATATTAGTGTCTCCCAACACAGTTCCTAACATATGCCAGAAACAGACCTCTCTGGAACACTTTTTTGAGCGACAGGGATCCAGTGACTCTCAAGCTGGTCCTAGTGGCATTAACCCTTTCAGGGTTTCGGACATACTAGTACATCTTACGCACCAGGGTTTTTGACGTACTAGTACGCCTAAATTCTAGTGCCCTCACATCTAGTGAGAGAAAGCTGGTAGGCCTACATATCAAAGAATGGGCAGTATAAAAAAAAATCCTGCAGCACACAGTGCGTAATGAGAAAAAAAAAACTTTGACTGTGTTTTTGGATTAAAACAGCGACTTTGCACTGTATTTTCGTATGGTATTTATTGTTGTATTCTAGTTTTCCTGGTCTCGTTTTATAGAATGGACGATATAATACAGAAATTTAGATGATTTTGACTGGTTTTACAATGAAAAGTACCTTGAAATTGAGCTCAAAGTAGCAGGAATGTTTGATTTTTACCAAAGTTCAAAAGTAAATAAATCATGCTAAGCGTCCAATACACGCCAACTGGTGAGTCTAATATTCTTTCACAAGTGCGCCGATATTATTTATACCATTTCTACACTAATGCAGTAGTCTGTATAACAGTAAATCTTATATTTTTTGTGAGAATAAAAATTCAAAGTGGAAAGCAAAAGAATGTGAGAGGGGCGTGGGGATGTGACTAATGAACAGAGGAAATGTTATTTTAGTGCCAGGAATGTCTTTCTTGTATATTCTGGACCCTATTTGGAAATTGGCATCTTTTGAAATTTGTGTGAAATTGGCAAAATTGCTAAATTCTGACCACTGTATTGGATAGTTGAAATCGGTAAATGGGTGGCTTCTTGTACTCATTCGATAGAAAAAATGGAGTTCTAGCAAAATAGTTATGATTTTTGTCGACTAGTACACTGGAATTAGCCAAAAGTAAGGCTCAACGTGGGCAAAATCGCTGATGAGTAAACATCTTCGAGACTGCTGACTTCGCGAGAGCATAATTCCGTAAGGTTTCCATCAAATTTCATACTTTTGGTGTCATTATGACTGGAAAAAGATTCTCTATCTTTTCATAAGATTTTTTTTTTTTTTTTTGAAATTTGGGCGACCCTGAAAACAAGTTTGGGAGAGGGCCTGGGGACCCTGAAAGGGATAAAAAACAAAGAAAGGAAGTAACTCAGGATAAGGACTTGGTACCTGAAGTCTTTGTGGAAGGGGATTTCCCTTCCAAACAATTGTAAACTCCTCCATCCTCTCCCCTCCTCCCATCTTCCATACATCACCATGTCTTCAGTAAAGGTAAATGTGATGTTATTATTGTTTTATTCTTCATGTATCATTGTTTTCTGTATAGGTAAATGCATATTTCTTGTAGAAACATTTTTTAACACTTTTGGGTATCTGAAATGGATTAATTGAATTTCAATTATTTCTTAGGGGGGGAAATTAATTTGGAATTCGTCAGATTCGGATTTAGTCACTCTCTCTCTGGAACAGATTAATTATGAAAACTGGAAGTCCACTGTATATGTTACTGCACTATTCAACAAAAGCATGGCTCATAATGTTGTGTACCTACTTAGTAATTAGCACAATTATTGTTAAGGTATTGAGAATTTTTATATTTTTTGTAATTACTAATTATGCTCCATATTTGTCTCAGGTACGAGCTGTGAAAGCTCACATGGAGCGTGATCCAGATAACATAGACTTTACTGACACACCAATCCATGTTCTGGCCACTATACTCAAGTCTTTCTTCCGTGAATTGCCAGAGCCTCTCCTCACCTTTGAATGCTATGAGCCACTCCTTCATGCTACAGAACTTCAGCATCCTGAAGATCAGCTTCAGACTATTTTTAATATCATTAAGGGTATACCTAAATTGAATTATGACTTGCTAGAGAGATTAATCTTTCACATGGTAAGAGTGGCTCACCACGAAGAACACAATCGCATGAGTGCAAATGCCTTGGCCATTGTGTTTGCGCCATGTATACTTCGCAGTCAAAGATCACAAACAGTTCAGGATTCTCTTAATGATATTGCCAAACAAACAGCGGTAAGATTCAATAAATGCTTGTAAATTTTATTTAGCTGCCTTAAAAATATACTTGTAATTTATTATTCTCAGGTGATAATCACTTTCTTATTTTATAAATTATATCTGCAATGCTTAATCATTTAATTTCTTCATTCAGGTTGTAGAGTCAATAGTAACCAAACAATTAAGACAAGTGAGAATGACACTTCATGATATAGACAGTGTTGACAGTGCTACAGCATCAGCAGGAATGCGTCTGGACTCACTACGTTCCTTAAAGGTATGTTCGCATAATTACATGCATTTCTTCATAGAAAGGTTATAATTACTCTCACAGGTAACTTTCTACAACTATTTCCCACCATAAAAAATATAGATACTGCAGATGTATTATGAATGTGGCATGTACACGTACAGTGAAACCTTGACTTACGAGTGTCCCAACATACAAGTTTTTTGAGATACGAGTCGTCGATAGGTCGATTTTTTGCTTTGAGTTACGAGCCAACATTTGAGTTATGAGCCAGCTTCCCCGCACTTCCCCCTCAACCCAAAACCTGGACACCTCTCTTGTTTATCTATGATTTCATGCTTTAATTCCATGGAAATCATTCTCTTTTTCTTCTCAGCATTGTCCTTTAAACTTACTTTCTTAGGACCCATGGTTAGAAAAGCAAAATTTGTCCAAATGACTGTCAAAAATATAAGCAAAGCGGGAGAGAACTGCTCCCACAGCTACGTAAACAGTGCACTGAGTTGGCATCATTCTGAAGCTCTCGTTTAATAATGTGTCACTATTATTAATTTAGGGAACTGAAGCTCAATAGTTATTGTAATAATTATTAGTATTTTTATAATTATTGATAATTTAGGGAACTGAAGCCCCTCACCAGTGTCAAGGAACTTTGACGCTGGTGAGGGGCTCTTGATCTAGGGAATTAGATATGTGCTCTAGTTCCCTAAATTAATAAGAATAAGATTTTTTTTTTTTTTTTTTTTTTTTTTTTTGTAAACAAGTTGGCCGTCTCCCACCGAGGCAGGGTGACTCAAAAAGAAAGAAAATCCCCAAAAAGAAAATACTTTCATCATCATTCAACACTTTCACATCACTCACACATCACTGTTTTTGCAGAGGTGCCCAGAACACAACGGCTTAGAAGCATATACATATAAAGATACACAATATATCCCTCCAAACTGCCAATATCCCGAAACCCCTTCTTTAGAGTGCAGACATTGTATTTTCCATTTCCAGGACTCAAGTCCGGCTATATAAAATAACCGGTTTCCCTGAATCCCTTCACTAAATATTACCCTGCTCACACTCCAACAGATGTCAGGTCCCAAATACCATTTGTCTCCATTCACTCCTATCGAACACGCTCATGCACGCCTGCTGGAAGTCCAAGCCCCTCGCCACAAAACCTCCCTTACCCCTTCCTTCCAACCTTTTCGAGGACAACCCCTACCCCGCCTTCCTTTCCCTACAGAATTAAATGCTCTCCATGTCATTCTACTTTGATCCATTCTCTCTAAATGACCAAACCACCTCAACAACCCCTCTTCTGCCCTCTGACTAATACTTTTATTAACTCCACACCTTCTCCTAATTTCCACACTCCAAATTTTCTGCATAATATTTACACCACACATTGCCCTTAGACAGGATATCTCCACTGCCTCCAACCGCCTCCTCGCTGCTGCATTCACAACCCAAGCTTCACACCCATATAAGAGTGTTGGTGCTACTATACTTTCATACATTCCCTTCTTTGCCTCCATAGATAACGTTTTTTGTCTCCACATATACCTCAGCGCACCAGTCACCTTTTTTCCCTCATCAATTCTATGATTAACCTCATCCTTCATAAATCCATCCGCCGACATATCAACTCCCAAGTATCTGAAAACATTCACTTCTTCCATACTCCTCCTCCCCAATTTGATATCCAATTTTTCTTTATCTAAATCATTTGATACCCTCATCACCTTATTCTTTTCTATGTTCACTTTCAACTTTCTACCTTTACACACCCTCCCAAACTCATCCACCAACCTTTGCAATTTTTCTTTAGAATCTCCCATAAGCACAGTATCATCAGCAAAAAGCAACTGTGTCAATTCCCATTTTGTATTTGATTCCCCATAATTTAATCCCACCCCTCTCCCAAACACCCTAGCATTTACTTCTTTTACAACCCCATCTATAAATATATTAAACAACCATGGTGACATTACACATCCATGTCTAAGACCTACTTTTACCAGGAAGTAGTCTCCCTCTCTTCTACACACCCTAACCTGAGCCTATCCTCATAAAAACTCTTTACAGCATTTAGTAACTTACCACCTATTCCATATACATATACTTGCAATATCTGTCACATTGCTCCCCTATCCACTCTATCATATGCCTTTTCTAAATCCATAAATGCAATAAAAACTTCCCTACCTTTATCTAAATACTGTTCACATATAATAATAATAATAATAATAATAATAATAATAATAATAATAATAAAAATAATTATAATAGTGATAGAGCTTCAGTTCCCTAAATTATTATCAGTAATAATAATTACAATTTTAATAATAATAATTACAATTACGTACGTATTATGTACATAATACGTACGTAATAATACTTATGAATGCTGCCGCTAGTTGGTGCAGCTGATTTCAAAACATCTGGTAAGCAGTACACATGCTTACATTGCTGTGGGAGCAGTTCTCTCCTGCTTTGCTTACATTTTTGACAGTCATTTGGCCAAATTTCGCTTTTCTAACCACAGCTTCTAAGAAAACAAGTGCAAAGGACAGTGCTGAGAAGAAAAAGATAATTTCCATGGAATTAAAGCACGAAATCATAGATAAACATAAGCAAAGTGCACGAGTTGTGGATTTAGCCAGACAATACCAGCGAAGTACATATATGTAACCACTGAACTTCTGTTGCTTACACTTCTTGATATAAATCCCAGTAATCTGTTTGCCTTATTACGTACACTTAGGCACTACTGTCTTGGTTGAAGATTGCTGCTTACCATAACCCCCAAGTCCTTTTTGCAATCTGTATGGCTAAGTTCTACATTAATTAACTTATATGTGCAAGGGTTATGGACACTCCCAAGCTTCAAAACTTTGCATTTATCTACATTGAACTGCATCTGCCACTTTTCTGACCACGAATTGAGTTTGTGTAAATCCTCCTGGAGTTCTGTGACATCTACGTTTGAATTAATTATTCTACCTATCTTTGTGTCATCGGCGAATTTGCTCAATATCACTTGTAATTCCCTCATCAAAGTCATTGATATATATTATAAACAACAACTGGCCTCAGACTGATCCCTGTGGAATGCCACTTGTTACAGATCCCCACTTGGATTTAACCCTGCATGAGCACACTCGAGCAGTGACTCGATCCATGACAGCACTTTTTCCCCAATGCCATGAGCTGCCACTTTCTTTAACAGTCTCTGGTGCAGTACTCTATCAAAAGCCTTACTAAAATCTAAATATAAACAATATCGCATTCTTTATCATGATCAACAGCCTCAAAATCTTTACTGAAGAAGGTTAGAAAATTAGTTAGGCAGGAATGGCCCCTCATGAATCCATGCTGAGTATCATTAATCAAATTATGCTTATCCAGATGGCATCTTATAATTTTTTTTTTTTTTTTTTCAACAAGTCGGCCGTCTCCCACCGAGGCAGGGTGACCCAAAAAAGAAAGAAAATCCCCAAAAAGAAAATACTTTCATCATCATTCAACACTTTCACCACACTCGCACATTATCACTGTTTTTGCAGAGGTGCTCAGAATACAACAGTCTAGAAGCATAAACATATAAAGATACACAACATATCCCTCCAAACTGCCAATATCCCAAACCCCTCCTTTAAAGTGCAGGCATTGTACTTCCCATTTCCAGGACTCAAGTCCGACTATATGAAAATAACCGGTTTCCCTGAATCCCTTCACTAAATATTACCTGCTCACACTCCAACAATCGTCAGGTCCCAAGTACCATTCGTCTCCATTCACTCCTATCTAACACGCTCACGCACGCTTGCTGGAAGTCCAAGCCCCTTACCCACAAAAACCCCCTTTTACCCCCTCTCTCCAACCCTTTCGAGGACGACCCCTACCCCGCCTTCCTTCCCCTATAGATTTATATTGCTTTCCATGTCATTCTACTGTGATCCATTCTCTCTAAATGACCAAACCACCTCAACAACCCCTCTTCTGCCCTCTGACTAATACTTTTATTAACTCCACACCTTCTCCTAATTTCCACACTCCGAATTTTCTGCATAATATTTACACCACACATTGCCCTTAAACAGGACATCTCCGCTGCCTCCAACCGTCTCCTCGCTGCTGCATTTACCACCCAAGCTTCACACCCATAAAGAGTGTTGGTATACTATACTTTTCATACATTCCCTTCTTTGCCTCCATAGATAACGTTTTTTGACTCCACATATACCTCAACGCACCACTCACCTTTTTTTCCCTCATCAATTCTATGATTAACCTCATCCTTCATAAATCCATCCGCCGACACGTCAACTCCCAAGTATCTGAAAACATTCACTTCTTCCATACTCCTCCTCCCCAATTTGATATCCAATTTTTCTTTATCTAAATCATTTGACCCCCTCATCACCTTACTCTTTTCTATGTTCACTTTCAACTTTCTACCTTTACACACATTCCCAAACTCATCCACTAACCTTTGCAATTTTTCTTTAGAATCTCCCATAAGCACAGTATCATCAGCAAAAAGAAAACTGTGTCAATTCCCATTTTGAATTTGATTCCCCATAATTTAACCCCACCCCTCTCCCAAACACCCTAGCATTTACTTCCTTTACAACCCCATCTATAAATATATTAAACAACCATGGTGACATTACACATCCCTGTCTAAGACCTACTTTTACCGGGAAGTAGTCTCCCTCTCTTCTACACACCCTAACCTGAGCCTCACTATCCTCATAAAAACTCTTTACAGCATTTAATAACTTACCACCTATTCCATATACTTGCAACATCTCCCACATTGCTCCTCTATCCACTCTATCATATGCCTTTTCTAAATCCATAAATGCAATAAAAACTTCCCTATCTTTATCTAAATACTGTTCACATATATGCTTCAATGTAAACACCTGATCTACACATCCCCTACCCACTCTAAAACCTCCTTGCTCATCCGCAATCCTACATTCTGTCTTACCTCTAATTCTTTCAATTATAACCCTACCGTACAC